GGGGGGGGTGGGAGGGGAGACAGGGAATGGAAAATGGGCCTTTTGTCTCTGAGGGTGAGACTAGATGCGAGGCAAAGGTGGAAGTGAGGGAATGAGATATGGAGACTATTTAAAGAAAACAAATATAAAGAAACTCGTGAGTTTCCCCTTCTGCAATGTGAATAAAACAACACTTCTTCTCTGTAAATCAGAATCCATGAAACTCAGATTGCTCTGAGTGTGAGCTGATTGGCCCTCCTAAATTGAGCGCATGCAAATTGTGTAAACAATGGAAAGATATTCCCAAAACAAAGAAGTCCTTGGACATTAACAACATTTGGGTGCAGCAAAGTCGGGGTTAACGCTGGGCAAAGAATTGATTTTTTTTTTGGTTCAGTGCATGTATGAAAAATAATAACAAAAGTATCTCCAGGAGTAGGGAGCAAAAATGAAAGTTTTCCATTTGTCCTCACCAAAATGAAAGCATTTGGGGTTGGGTGGAATACAAGGATTTGTTTGACCTGAAATGAAACATTTCAGTTCAGTGTTGAGTGAGGTTTTTTTTAACCTCTTTTTTTTTTAAATTCAAATCTACCTAGCAGCATTCTGAAAGAAAAAGTCAAAGCGATTTGTTTCAAAAAATGCGAGAATGTAAAATGAAACGTATTACTTTTCCCCAGTATTTTCTGGTTGCAACTATTTGCTGAATTTTACCCATATCTGTGAACAAATGTGACAAAACTGTGCATTCTGGAGACTACACCAGGCACAAACCAAAAGCACAACCCTCACCCCTCTCTCATTGGGATCTGGGGCCAGGGGCTTTAGTGCACAGGCGGTGGAGAAACTCCCCAACTAAAACGAGTTTCAGAAGCACATGGGGGACTGAGGAGTAGAAACCCCACTGTGTCGGAATCAGAATTGTGCTTCTAAATCCAAGAGCTATTTTCTAAAATTTCTGGTTCATGTCAGACTTTCCTCTAAAGCATGGGTTCCCAAACTGGGGGGGGCGTGCCTCGGGGGGGTGAAGAAATTCCAGTGGGGGCACGAGGTGACCCAGCCTCCGCCTCCCCCATCAAGTTTTGCTGCCCTTTCAGTTACTTTTTTTTTTTTTTTTTTGCTCAACAAATGTTGATGCTATTTGGGGGGGGGCATGAGGGTTTTTCAAAAATCGAAAAGGGGGGCGTGATGCCAAAAAGTTTGCAAACCGCGCTGAGCCGGAGTTCATTTGTCTCTTACAAAACAGGGGACTATGCAAATTGCCTAACCACATTTCCTGCCTAACGCCGGCTAGTCCCCTGGCTCTGCAGCTCTCCGAGAGCCAACCTGCCACCCCACGGGCTCCCAGCCGGCCCCACGGGGACCTCTCCCCAGAACCAGAAGGATGACACCCTGGCTTGTCCTCACGTCCATTCTGCTCGCTTCCAAAGGTAACTGAATGGCGAAAGACCTTGAAGTTTCTTTCAGGCGTGAGGCTTAATGTTGGTTTTTTCCACCCAGGAGTCCAGGCGAACTATAAATTTGAGGCGTCCGGGGGAGAAGTGAAAACACTCGGGGACTCTCTCCGGCTGTCCTGCAAAGCATCTGGATTCAACTTCGGTGAGTCCTGGATGGCCTGGGTCAGACACGCTCCTGGGAAGGGACTTCAGTGGGTCGCCACCATCAGCAAAGCGTCTGGGGATACGAAATCCTACGCGGAGTCGGTGCGAGGACGATTCACCATCTCCAGAGACAATTACTGGAACACGCTGTATCTGGATATGACTCGGCTGAGCCGTGAGGACGCTGCTGAGTACTACTGCACCTGGGACACAGTGCGCAGGAGGCAGCCAGTGCCCCGACCAAAACCTGCTTGTTGGGGGAGGAGATTTAGCTGAGGACGAGGAAGGCCTCAGTGCTAGGAAACCCCGAGAGAGACAAGCAGAGACAGTCCGCCTTGTGCTGACAATGGCACAGGGTACCTGCGTCCATCCACTTCCTTTCTCTGGAACTGCACATTGAGACACGTTTCCTGTCCCCCTGAGTGCCCCCGGTTCCCCACACGCCTGCCCCTCTGCTCCTGCCAACGCTGCCTCTCTGAGTCTTCTGAGGGGGGCAGAAGGAGACCTCACAAGGGGGGTGTGACGTAGTGGGGGTACCTGGCTGGTTTCTATGCTGCTGGCTCTGGGGGAACCCCCACTGGCTGCTGTGGGTACCACGACCCAGCAAAACAGGATGAGTCACTATGCAAACCAGTGGCCAGACACCCCCCATGGAGAGGAACAAAGGAAGGTGGATGCTGCCTTGGCTGGGGGGCAGGGCTGGAAGTTTGTGAGTTGGTTGCTGGCTGTCGGAGGGCATGGATGAGACAGCCTAGGGAGAGGAGCTGGAGTTTAGGGGCCCAGTCTCCCCCATCTCAAGGGGGCCTGAGGCATCCTAGCCCAGTTCCTGTGACCAGATTACATCTGTGCTGCGCTGTGCTGGAGGAGCAATAAACCACCCTCAATTCCACTGGCTGGTGCAGTCTGTTTGTGCCATTTCGGGGTGCAGGAGACGGGGAACCCCCAACGTGCCGTCACACTGGTGTCAGAAGTGGGATGCACTGCACCCCGTGGATGGAGCTCCCAGCGGTGAGCGACAAGGCGCCGTAGAAGCAAGAGCCCTGGAGCCAGGCGTGCTGGAGACAGAGCGAAGCGGTTCCTGGGAATCGTGGGGCGCTGCAGCACTAGACTGGTGAGTCTGCACCGAGGGGCCCAGCGGGCAGATGGCCTACGCCCGACTCTTGAAGGCAGAGCTGGTGGGGCTGTGCAGAGAGAGGGGCTTGCCTGTGAAGAAAGCACCCAAGGCCCAGCGGATTGCTCAGCTAGAAGAGAACGACCAGCCACAGGGCCAGGATCTT